GGGGGGGGGGGGGGGCATATATAGTGTTGCGTATGTCCATCCCGTCCCATGAGCGAGGACATGTATATCTTACAGACATTTTCTAGTTATAAATATATCATTAATTTGCAAGGTATGCAGTTTTTCTGACAGCTCTTTTTATGTAATATAAGTATACATACATTGCAGATATCTTGTTTCTCTCAAAATATTCGTGTTAAATAAGAATGCATAGCTTAATTGCTAGTAATGCTTTGTTTTTAATTGCAAAATATGACCTTATATTCATCTCTCGAATGCTATTTTCACGTACATGTTTAGCTTTTAATGTCATGTTGGTAGTTTGTGTGGGAATTTCCAGGAATCTACACGTACGAAGTATTCTCAGATTATTAATTCCAACCACATGGACCGCAAAGAGAAACACTTTCCATTTCATATCAACTTCTCTTTATTTGTTATGATATCGGTAAGTTGTTATTTGTCTAGCAAAACATTTTACAATAAAGTGCTATTTACCATTCCATATACGTTGAAACATACCAATCGTTTTTTTGTTATATCTTAGTGATCTGTACCTACATATTGGTTAATCAGTGGTATTTAGTAATTGATATACATTAAAATGATGTCAATTATAAATGCGTTAAGGGTTATCGCACACACTGCCAAAAACTGCACATATGCATTGGAAGCTTTGTTCCAGTATGCCTTAATCTTTGATATATGATAGAAATTTTTGGGGAAAAAAAATACTGTGTGAATTATTTTTCGATTTGAAATATCAAATAAGTTATCAAGTGAATTAATAAATAAATAATCCACTCCTGTGCTCTGAATTAAAAGCAACAAGGCTAAGCAAGGATTCAAACTTGGACCCTCCATCATTATAGTGTCACTCTAACTAGCTAAGCTACTTGGCGACAGTGGTTGTGCCCTGGTCTTGTCGACCAAAAATCATAAAATATCCAAATTAAGATAAAGGTAACCCAACTCTATGTAAAAAAGCACGTGAACTTTTAGTGTGTTTTATTCTCAAGTGGGATAGAGTTACTTAAAACTGACTTGATTCATGGTTTATTCTTGTATGAGCTTCCCATTGCATGGGCACTAGTTTTTTTCCACACAAGGGACCGTTGCTTTTTTTAAAACAAAGATATAAAAGGAATCTAATGTCAAAACACATAGACTTAACAAATATGATACGTTATTAGGCATTTGATTTACGTCACCTTGTTAAAAGCATGATTGATTGCAACCTAAATACTTACGAACATCACGTGCTATCTCGTCTGGTCGCCGGAATTGATATTATTGCACCCCAGATATATCCCGCGTCAAACCCGGTGCAAGGATTTTCTTTCTTGTCTTATATCTGTTTGGTAACTTTACTCAAATATTCAAACAGCGATATATCCATCAGTGCAATAACGGCTCGAAATTGTAAATATGCATTATATATATTCTGTTTTGTCGTTGTATGTATTGGCTTGATGTTGTTAGATTAATGTTGTTGTATATAAAATATAATATAAATGGTGAAGTACGGTGTCTTTATTGTGGAGACAGACAACAATTTTATATTTTTCTTTGTCATGTGGTTTTAGTAGTGTAAAGGCCATTCTGAATTTGAGGCCCAGACAGAGTAGTTGAAATCATAAGCGAAAAAAATAAATATATACTTGTTCGATCTCAGAGTTGCAAAAAAAACTATTGCCTGTTACTGAGCGAGATCTGGCTAATTATCTCTAACATATCATGTTACAGAGTCTTAGCCCTCGACTTAGATAACCCGATCTCGCCCAGTTATGTTTTTTATTTCAATATCGCCTGACACTGATATTACTCAAATTTATTGACAGTCTTAGTTGTACAAAGTCACAGAACACGATCATTGTCGTATATTGTGACGTATCCTTAGTATATAGATTTCCAGTTACAAACGCACCAAGCTATACCATAGTTGTAGGGGTATATGGAGGAAAATAATTCTGAAGGAGGAACACGTCTCTTGTAGCGTTTGCCTGTAGTCGACAATGACCACCTTACATGTGTTAATGATGTTATTATATTGTTATCATCATCTGTAGATTTCTTATAATGTTTTTAATTTGACTAATTTTCATTAATACATGACAGCAAATGTATTTAAAAACAATATTAAAACAGCATTTAATCATCTTTTTGTTTATCAATCGTCTTGTTTGTGAGTAAGGAAAATATAACTTTATAAAACATGTTTTTGATAAAGCAGTTGCCATACAGATAATTATCCCTGTACGAATGATTTGCTGAAAAGACTGATTTATGAAGTTGCGTAAACCTTAATTGTCATCATGGAAAAACAAAACAAAAAAAACAAACAAACAACCAAAAGAAATAATGTACGTGATATATCTCAATCTTAATGTTTGGTCGTCGTCCATCGTTTAAGACGAGAAATGTGTATTCTCCCCTGCATTAATCGGTCCTTGCTGTGGTGTCTACCGCATTATACCGTAATATGGTGTCTACTGATTATGGGATATTGGGGAAACTAAGAAGACTTTTGCTTTCTCTAAATGCATGATATGGCATGAGGTACTAATATTCCTCCGCATCGACAAATATAAGTCAACCCAAAGTATTTTGAAGTTCTCAAAGACAGAACGTTGTTGGTAAACAAAACTGATAAGAAAATGCTTAGATGTTCATATCTCAAAATCTCCAATTGGATTCTGATGGCGACCTTAGAATGTGCCAGTAGTCTTTAACAAGTTATATCCTTCGAAGCTTTATTGTAAATTTGTCAATCATGAGGGTACACTAAACAAATCGCCGGATATGATATATACCTGTCTAATACAAATGAATGAGCATCAAGAAACAGGTGCTACATGAGTATCACATCTGGCTTAGCGTCAATGTCCGCGACACAGTACGTCCGGTATCTGACCATCTGCATTGACCGTCGAGTGCAAGCCAAAGCATGGTACTCGAATGATGCCGTGTCAATAACATAGTATCGCATATGTTACTTAATCTATAGTTTTGACTGATGATGTATTACACCTTTTCAACTCAATGTTTTACGGAATTTGTATTTAATATGTTGATATTATTTTATATTTACATTATGTATGCTTAGACCCATTGACACAAATTGTATTCATGAATGCATAACACAGGTGTTCATAGAATTTCAGCACGTGACCTGGTGTAAAACATAGCAACCTGATCACACTGCGTAGTAATACACTACAAAAACTACTCACTCGGAACGACCGACCTAGATGCCTAATTTTTACATCTTAAAATAAACTTGAATTTTAACCCAAATAAATGTAAATTTCTGTTTTATTTATGTACTATGGATACATAATTTGCATGCTGTGAATTGATATTTTAAAAAAGTCCACACATCAGCGTTAACGGAAGTTACACTGTCGTCTGATACATCTGTCAAAAGGAACGTCCCAAAACAACTTAGCTGTCAGCCTGACGATGAAACAATACCTTTTGAGCTGGAACTACCCAATCACCAAGATATGTCAGACGAGGAGGTAGAGATATTTATTTATACTCTGGATTTTTCATCAATCATTGAATTGAAATCAGCACAAGACATTGAGGTAGAACTTGCTGCGAGTGCTGACCCCGGTATACCATCCCCCGGGCAGCCGGTCCGGAGTGACCCCCCTCATCAATCAGCTATCGACAGATTAGTACCTTCCTGGTTTAAAAAGGTTACAGAGGAGGAGCGGAAATCCTTTTAAGATGCCAACCAATCTTTAGCAACAAGGATAAATACACAATGAAGATTATTTTTATTCCGAGGTAATAATTCACTTCTCCCCCCTCCCCCTTCATGTTTAAAACTAACGGAAGTTACTGTACTGTATCCGCTGATGGTATTGATGTTGTTGAAAGTTTTCCTTCCGTACAACTGCATAATAACAGGTACTAATGCTGATGAAGTAAATTCGGTTGTTGATTTTGATTACACAAGCAATCCAAAGCACTTCATCATTACACAGAAGACATTCTTTTTTTGTAGAATGGAACATTGACACTTCTGGGGAGCATGTCCCATTGAACAAATTACCCACAGAGGAATTGGCAAACAACTTGAGTGCATTCTACTGTTAAGCAAAACCCAAAAAGGTTGAGAAGAGAGCGAAGCAAATGCAAGCATGACAGGCTGAGGAATATCACAAGAACACTTTTTAACATTTGTTTTGCATATCGAAGTATTGCATGGTATGGCTGAACATGGACCTTCTCTTCTGTGCATTAAAATCCCTTCACAACTCATTTTACGTAGATGAATATACCAGACAATAGATTATCAAATTACAACGTCACGATTACTGCAGGTGTCGCTAAAGGTATTCAACATCAATAAGCGTATACCTTTCGATATCTTCATGTTCGGTTCAAAACTGATGGATTACACGGACCAGTCTGTTCACACTGTCCTGTTGGCTGTAGTTGTAATACATCCGGCAAAACTGTGGGACATTGTGTTCGTAAGTAGTGTTCATTATCAACTTTCAGAAAGCCACTGATATACTCGCAATGTTAAATGATATATAATTTACTTGGTCGGACATTCAGACTTTACAATATAATGATTACCGAACGATGCCTTTCCAGCACTGTAAACTGATGTGATGAGGATTGACAATTTTACACTACTGATAACATATGTGTCCCTGTCAAAGAGTTTAAGCATTATATAATGCTGAAGTGTTTACTAGATATAAGACATTTTCATCAGATTAAAACAGAGTGACAGAGTTAAAATGTGACTTGTCAATAGTTAATTGACCAATAGGTGAAAATAACGAAAGGAAATCGTTTAGCCCGATTATACAACACTACTATTTATCAGTTTGTTTTGGAAATAATAAATATAATGTTATAGGACATCAGTGGGGAAAGCCTGCCCATCGTCGGTAGATATTCTCGAAAGAAAATAATAGAATTATACGTAAAATCGGCATTACTTTCTGTA